TCTATCTATCTATCTATCTATCTATCTATCTATCTATCTATCTCATCTATCTCATCTATCTCATCTATCTATCTCATCTATCTATCTATCTATCATTCTTCTCTGTGTGTCCTCCCTCTCTCTCCCTCCCGGGAGCTGAACCCTTTGCAGTCCATCTTCATGCCAGTCCAATTTTACAGAAAACATTAAATTCACTGGGGGGGGAGGGCCGGGGGGGGGGCAGCTCGACTCTTTCTTCTGACCAGGAAATGAGCCGCATCCCCTCCCATGTCCTCCGCAGGCAACAAGGGGGCCGTGGGCGTCTCCTTCATGTTCAACGGCACCTCCTTCGGCTTCGTCAACTGCCACCTCACCTCCGGCAACGAGAAGACCGCCAGGTGAGCCCCCTCCCCCCTCCCTCCCTCCCTCCCCCCAGTCCCAGTGTAAAGGGCTTTAAGTCTGGGGGTCTCCCTGAGCCCCACCCTGGCTGGGAGCCTCCCTGCACTTCTCCCATGATGGCCCCAAACCCCAAGGTTGCCCATAGACACGGCACAACTGGCACGAGGGCAGGGCGTCCTCGCTTTATGACCACAGAGGAGCCTGACATTTCTGTTGATACATTTGTTAAGTGTTTGCTCCATTTTGCCACCTCTCCTGCCACAGTTGTTAAGCGAATCGCTGCGGTTGTTAAGTTAGTCACACGGTCGTTAAGCGAATCCAGCTTCCCCGTTGACTTTGCTTGTCAGAAGGTGGCCAAAGGGGGAATCACGCGACTCCGGCATACTTCAACCGTCGTAAATGTGAGTCAGTTGCCAAGCACCCGCGTGTAAATCACGTGACCATGGGGATGCTACAATGGTCATAAGTGTGAAAAATGCTCGTAAGCCCCTTTTTTTCAGTGACTACGATTGGTCACTAAATGGGCTGTGTTGTAAGTTGAGGACTACCTACATTCAGGCATGCCTGTTAAGACTAACTGGAATTTGGGGCACTTGCAATGGTCTTTTCGGTGCTGTTATAAACGAACTTATGACCATTTTTCACACTTACGACCATTGCAGCATCTTCAAGGCCACGTGAATAAAATTCGGACGCTTGGCCACTGACTCGTATTTATGACCATTTCAGTGTCCCCGGGGTCTCACGATCCCCTTTTGTGACCTTCTGACCAGCGAAGTCAGTGGAGAAGCCAAATTAACCGAAAAAAACAAGTTGATAACTAAACATCTGCAGTGATTCACTTAGCAACGGTGGCACGAAAGGTCGTCAAACGGGGTGAAATTCACTTGGCAAATGTTTCTGCTTAGCAACAGATACTTTGGGCTCTGTTGCGGTCGTAAGTCGAGGACTTCCTGCGTGAGCAAACCCAACCTCCCCTTTTTTGCCCCCCCAGGAGGAACCAGAATTATCTGGACATCCTCCGTCTTCTGGCCCTGGGGGACAAGCAGCTGAGCTCCTTCGACATCTCCCTACGCTTCACCCACCTCTTCTGGTTCGGCGACCTCAACTACCGCCTGGACATGGACATCCAGGTGAGGACGACCTTCGGGGGCGGGCTGTGGTGCCGGGGAAGGAATCGAGGAGGGGATTCAGGGGCGCCTGAGCATCGACAGAGGGCCGCTCCGTTGCCACAAAGACCGTGGGAATCCAGGCTGGATTCCCTGAAATTGTGTGTGGGGGGGGGGATGAACGTGGCTGACCAGGAGAGCTTGACCCGTGGATTGAAAGGGAGCCGGCCTTTTTCCTCCCCTCCTCTAGGAAATCCTCAACTACATCAACCGCAAGGAGTTTGAGCCCCTCCTCAAAGTGGACCAGCTCAACCTGGAGAAGGAGAAGCACAAGATCTTCCTGCGATTCAGTGAGCAGCCGGTCCCTCCAAAGGGGATCCCTTTCTTGCTGTCGACAGAGGAGATCCTTTGTAGCCCAGGGTTGAAATGAGGGGGGGGGGGTGTTGTCTTTGGTGCTTTCCGAGCAGGGCTGATCTTCTTGCAGACGTTACGTGACCCAACTAGGGAACGTCATCAGTGCTACGGTAGAAGGGAAGAAGGTTTGGGGAGAGGAGAAGAGGAAGAGGAGGAAAAAGATGAGAAGGGAGGAGGAGGAAGACTGTGGGCTCCTTGGTGCTCTCTGAGCTTGGCTGTTTTCTTGCGGACGTTTCATGACCCAACTAGGGAACATCATCAGTGGAAGAAGGGAATAGGATTTGCCCAGTCCTGCCACAGGGGATCTAGGAGCCCCAATTTTGGGGGGGAGGTCCACATTTGGGCTGCAAAAAGCAGCTTTTCTTGTACCCTCATGTGAAACCAAAGGGATCCCCTTCTCTGAACAGGAACACGAGGGTCTCTAACAAACTCCTGCTCCCCCACCCCTTCACCCTTCCAACAAGAGCCTGCTCCCCTTGCTCGAAGCCCCTTCCTCAGAAAACCGGACGGGGCCAACCTCTGATCTCTGGATTGCCTCCTCCTCCTCCTCTTTTAGGTGAAGAGGAAGTCACTTTCCCTCCCACCTACCGCTACGAGAGAGGGTCCCGCGACACTTACGTGTGGCACAAACAGAAGCCCACTGGGGTAAGTGCCTGGGGGTCCTGGGGGGGCTCGGGTGGAGGAGGAGGGCTTGGAGCGGTGGGGGGGTGGGGTGAGCTCTCTTTGCAGGTTAACCAGCTTGATTGGCAGTCAAGGAGTCCAGCCTGTTTGCAGAACCCAGATACGCCATGGGAGTTTTCTTAGGGTCTGAGTGCCTTCACCCACTTCCACGGGTGTCCTGAGCCTTCAGCTCAGTGTTTCTTAGTCTTTGCAACTTTAGGATGCGTGGACTCCCAAAATTTGGGAGTTCAAGTCCACCCTTCTTAAAACTGAAAGCTTAGAACTGAAATCTGCACATTTTAAAATTGCATTCAGGGAGTTGAAATCGGTGCACCTTAATTTTTAATGAATTCTGGGAGTCGAAGTCCACGCATCTTGTTGTAAATGTGTTTTTTATTTTCCATTTTCATTTTCGTACAGTCACATATATACTGTGCATAACCGGGGCCATATAACAATAAACAATAAACACAGCCATTCCTCTTGTCGACAACACCCCCCAAAATAGAAACCCAAACTCAAATAGAAAC